CCTTCAAAAAGTCTGTGCACGCCATTGTATTTTAGTCCTTTGCATGCTAAAGGCCTAACCTGTAACCTGAATGGTCTATTGTCTGCTACTGAACCAACAGGCAAAGCTTTGAGATGTTACGAGCTAAGGACCTTCATAGAAATGTTTTTTTTTTTTTTTAAGTTATTATAATTATATCAACATTTTAAACTACATCTCAGCATTGGTAACATATTGTCCCACACAAACATACACTTTGTCACACATTTGGATCTGGTCAACCTATATGTGAGGTGTGTGGTCGTAGATAATATTCAGAATGAAAGGAAGTCCATAAATAACTGGACCGCCTGAGTGGGTATGTAGTCCCTAATTAATTTGAAACAGTCAATTCAATTTGAGTTGTCGGTCTTAAAATATTCCTAAGAACTTGAAATCACTGACTCCCTCTATTAGTCAAAGGCTATTTGTTTACTGCTTTCTTGTTTACCCCAAACTCAGGCGTCTCCAAAGCACTGCTTCCAAATGCAATGCAACACTGCCCTCTAGAGGTCATAGGCTGGAGCATGCCTTCAATGAAACTTTGGATCAGGTGTTAACATGATGTGTTTAATACTGTAGGTCAGGTTATCATAAGGAGTTAAGATAGAAAGTTGAACATGAATAATTCCCTACAGTGTTATATGTTCACACACTAAACGCAGCACTGAGAAACGTCGCGTGGATCTATCCAGAGTGAAGGGCAATAGCTTAGCAGGAAGCTAGTTAGTGGCTATGTACACTGCGCATGCGTCGGGGTCAGGTCACATGCAAAAAGTAGTTTTTCTAACTTTTATCTGTTTTTTCCTTGACATGCATGCAGTGAATGCACGCAAAGGTTGGAGGTGGAAGATACAGACAATTACATGTGGAATTAAACACTTTAAGACATATATCATCTTATTTTAAGTATGTGTTTTCATAGCTTTGTTATTATCACAAGAAGAAATAGCATTCCAGCTTAGAAAGCAGGTAGGTCTGACTTTATATTTTAGATTGATCTGATAAGCACTTTGCTTGGAGGAGAAAGAATCTGCCTTTTGTGTAACTGTTATATGTAAAACCAAAAATCATACTTTAATATAAGTTTGGCAACACGTAAGTAGGAAATATATTTACATAAATGTTGTTAATCTTAAACCAATAATGACATTATCGTACCTCTCAAGGACGTTGAGTGCGGTTAAAAGCTCCAGAGATTTAAATTAAGATTGCTAAGTATAAAAAGTAGCCTTTATGCAAACAGCTAATTAGTAAGAGAGAATAATAATAATAATTTCAATAATTATATTACAATAACAAAAAAAAATGTCAAGGCATAAAAATTATAATTAATGACATTTGGGAAAAGTGACACTAACACCAGATAAGTGAGATCATCAGATCATCTTCCTTCATATAAATCAGTGGAAACAAAGCAAACAAAACACTCTTCTCAGTCTGTCCACTAGATGGAGACATTGACATGACCCAAGTCCCACAATACCTCAGTGTTTGTAGTCCTGGTCCTGTTCTCAGACGTTCACTGTCAACTGAAGAGAAATGTAATGTATTAATATTTCATGATAGTCTACCTCAATTGATTTTAAACTTTTCTCTTTAATATTTAAAGGCAATTATTTATAATTAACTGATCAGCATGGTCGGTCTCCATAAGAGTATTCAATTCCAAAAAGATATTTTGTCACCAGATTGTGTGTTTCTTCACCTCTGATGTGTCTCGGATCATAAGGATGACTCATGTGTGCACCATATGGAGATCAGGTTACATTATCGCCCCAGATTTACATATCAAGCACCGAAGAGGAGGGCGAGGAGGGTGAGGAGGGCGGCTGTGGAAGGATAATGGGATTTTGATTCCATTATACCCCGAGGATATGGTTTCAGTTTGGGGGTACTTCTTCCACTGTGATAATTACAGCTCTGAATTCATGACAGGATTGGATGACCAAACTGATATTACGTTAACATTGATGCACTTCAGTGATCCTATTCAGGCTTACCTGGAAACTATTAATCACTCGTAATTCAAACTGTGCTCATTAATGTTTAATCTATCTATCTATCTGAACAACGCTGCCAGTGTCATAAATGGATCCTTTTTTGCTGACTCTCTTGCAGTATAGTTGTCATCTGATGAACAGAGGAGGTAGGCAGTGATGTGATGTGTCTCATGATCCTCCCGGACTGATCCTCACTGATACTCTGGCAGACAAACAGGGGGTCGCTGTTTCCCTCCCACATCAGTGCGGCAAACAAAGGCAGCACAAACATGAGAAGCTTGACTGTGAGAGAGGGTGAACCCGAGCTGACCCCCCTCCGGCCCGCAGAGAAGACACAGAAGAGCTTTGGTGACGCTCCATATGCGGTCTTCATTCACAGGAACGGGCCTTGCATTCAGTGTAGTACAATTTGTGTATTAATGCATATAGGACTACAAAAGCAAGTAGGAATAGATTTTCACTGTGACATGTAATGTGTAAGGATTTTTTAGCAACCTGTGGGGATTTTATATTCTACAGTTTAAAGCTTACACCCTTATATTTTAGACTTAGTATATTTCATTTCAGTAAAGCCTACTGTATGCAGTTTTAGGCCAAAAGAAAACCACTACTGGACTCTACAGAGCCCCTTAAGTCCTGAAAGATTATATTTTTCATCCTCATCCAAGATCCAAAGCTTCAAAAATAACATAATCATTTTAAAATATTCAAAAAAATTTGTTTGCATTGTGAACACAAATTATATTATTATAAGAGTTTAGAGCAGCGTCATGAGGCTGTACAGCGGTGCTTGGAGCTAAATGCTAACA